CCCCACTGGAAAATAACATCTAACTATGTCAACATGCTCCTCAGACAATACTCTACTTATACTGATCTCACAAAATCTCACATATTTTTGAAGGCCGAATGATGGATTTTTCAAAACCCATACGGATCTCAGGGTATTTTGCCGTTTTCTTCCGAATAAAAGCACTTTTGGTCAAATATAATACCATATTCGGAATCAGCGTGAAAAACTGCGTTGAATGGTGTATAACTCATCTAGTTTCGGTCGCTTGGTTTTAAATTCTAGAAATTTCTTAGTTTTTGAGATTCACACAAACAATTTCGTGCCGAAAATTTGAATTTCAAGATAAAGTAACCTGAACGACTCGAAACATGTTTCTTATAGGTTTTCGACAATGCTCTTTCCAGTGGCATCGTTTTTAAATANCTTAGAAAACTTTTTCAAAACCCAGCTCTCATGCCATTAGAAAGAGGATCATGAAAAACCTATAAAAAAATGGTTCATGAAATTTTAGTTCACTCATAAAGCTAAAGTCCGCCTGCTCTAGTAAAAAATGCCCACTGTGGTCTATTCTTTTGCTATCCCTGTACTTTTTTGAATTAGTCAATTCTTGATGAAACAGCTGCATCAACTTCTCCTTTTATTTACACTCTTTTCTCATTAATTTTAATCGAATTTCCGGAGTTGTTTTCAGAATCACACGAACAAAGTCGTTATCCTATCGTAGGAGGAAGCTGATTTATTTTCCTGTTGTATACTTTTTCACCTTGATCTCGATTTCAATGAATGTATATAGTTCTTTTCACTGTATGAACTTCTGATAGACAAATATCGAAAAGAAAAAAGTAAATGTTCTTCAACCAGTCGAAGCCAGTGACATTGATTTCCTGGGCCAATGCTCTATTCGTTAGTTACCGAACACCGTTCAATCACATGTATCTTCTAAATGAAAATGACTTCAATTCTCTTTTTTCAAAATTTATGTTAAAAATATTGTGCATGTCTTGAATTTTAAAGATAAAAAATTAAAAAAATTACAGATATTCATTCGTGAGTGAAACGATGAGTATAAATTGAATATTAAAAAGATTGTTTTCTATTCTATTTATTTTAATTATCACTTGAACTCTATTGAAATCGGTTTATATTTAGTCTGTTTTCATAGGATGCATTGGCTGTTAATAAATTATGCATCCGCAGGACAATATCATTCTTTTTGCATTATTACATTTAGTTGACGAGGATGTAAAGTAGAGACAAAAAGTTTATAAACAACTTTGTTGTATTGTTGCTCGTTTTAATATAGAGTTGTTAAACACATTTTAGAGACAAGAATTCTAAAATAAGTTTTCTAATAGATCTTTGGAAAATTCGGCGGTGTCTCAAAAATTTTCAGTAGGATTATATTGATTTTTTTTTCATGGATTGATAACCCCGAGTGTCCTCTTCAAAATGGGAGCCAGTCGAGACCTTGATTTTCCGTAGTTCAGATATAGTATTCGATTTTCTTAGAGTCTCAGGACTGGTAGCTGATGACTATTGCTAATCGCGGAAACTGGTGGACTATAGACAATCGATCATGCTGAGCGTCGCGGGAATATTTGTTTTTAGACAAAGGTTTTAAAACCTAGTGAAAAAATCAAGTTTTACGAAAACTGGTTTCCAGATTGTTTTCACCTAACGTTGGAAAAAGTTCAGTGTTTTTTCATATTATTTCAGAAGTGTTCCCTACGCCATTTAGTGATGTGCAAAGCGCGACTTCTTTGCGCCCTATCCAAAGAAAATTTTCGTGCCGCAGTCCTGCCATACGAAGCTGGGGCCTTGCCTTTTACGCTATCTTGAGAAACAGTTTCATACCCGATTACCGTATGTGAAAAAGTTTTTTTAGAAAGAAGTTTAACCATCAGCAGAACGCTATGTATGTGCAAACGCTGAATCTGCAACAGAAAGTTATATTAATAATAACTAATAAGAAAAGTAGTAGGTCGAATTTTTTATTGTAAATTATCAAGTTCTTCATTTGCACTTCTAGGCAGTTACGTTGTACTGTTTGATTTGAGAAAGATTCACACTGCTGAAACACGCTTTTGACAACAGTTTGGCATCATTGAATTAAAATTTCGAGCGATTCATCGTACGGCTGCGGCATCTTCACTCTGGTACAATGCACGATGTATTTCTAACTGCGATCTATACAATCTTTATAGATTTCTTGTATAACGTTCATTTTATGTGAACGATCCTCTTTGTTTGTTCTTGAAGGAGGCACCAGTCTATGATATGGCTATTGAACATAAATGTTCACCCTACCTCTGTTCATACAGAAAATTTTATAATATAAAACATATACAGGAAAAACACGATATTACAAAAAAAATGATACTGCATTTTTCCTGTGTCAAAGGAACACCTAAATGTATTCTAACAGTGGATTTTCTCTCTCACGTGTTTGTAGAAAGATCTTTTCTTTTGCCTTTTGAATGTTGCTGTTTTTCTGTTTTCATCCGCATCGTAAAAAATTCTTGTTTTTAACTCAGACCAATGTCGTCAAATTCATGAAATTTTCTATTTAATAGAATGGATCTTCATATTGAATAGAACAAGCAATGGCACCACTGACTTTAACTTTTTTCCATCCTCATGTGTAACTAGATTGCTAGAAGTTGCACTGTTTGCGAAAATTGACGTCCTAATTTTTGTTCCACTGTGACACATACTTTTGTCTTTCCGTTTCGGTCAAATACTTCTGTTACCAACTACATAGAAGATCTCAGAAACGTTCTTGCAGTTGAAGAACAAAAACTGCACAAAATAAGCAACACCATTACTGCTTTTAAGGATTGATGGGACAAGCCAGAGCAAAGTGGGTTCCCACTTTGAAAACTGAATTTTGCACCTACTGTCCACTCTGAGGGAAAAATATTCCATTTTATCTTTTTACTTTTATTACTTTATTTTTTACTTTACTATTTTTGTTTAACTCAGCTTTCAGCAAATGTGCAATAACAGTTAAATCACATAAATAGCAGTAGTTTTCTTTGGCATATATAGATCTATAGCTGCATACACTTGTTTATTTTCGTATTTCTCGTGTTGTTTTGTTTTTGTTCAGCAAATATTTTCTCTTTCATAAGAAAAATCAAACGTTCAGTCTTTTATACTCTATTTTTATTTTAAAGAGGTTAAACGGCGCTGATTGCATTTATGAAAGTGAAACTGCGGTTGTGAGACAGTAAAAAAAAGACTTCCTAAACACATTTTGTTCCGACTTTATCCACTTTGTGTTTCAAAACAAACTAGGAAAACCTACTTTGGTATTCAAAACAAAGTGGGAAGTCTCGTTCTGGAAAATATTCTCATTAAAATACTGAACACCATCTTTATTTATATCGTGATGTACACTCAGGTGTCATCACGATATCCCTAGTTCGCTGATAAAACCAAAGTGTACCGCTGGACACCTTGTTTTTTTCTTTTGTAGAGTGTAAACACAGTGTATTCAGCAACGTTAGTAAAAACATAGCTGATGAGTAAAATATATGCGCTGATAATAAAATGAAACGAAAGATGAATGTTTTGTAAGCGAAAATCCATAGTTTTTGCTACCGCGTAAATATGACCAGACGTCATTCACTGATTAAAAAAATCAGTCGTAATCACCTTTGCAGGTCTATGCATACCACTTTTAATAAGAGTATATTGCTGTTCAAAAAACACACGGTGAATTGTTCAATTCCCTTCCGTGAACTGCAATTCCAGACTCACCTCTTCCATTCTACACAAAGCCAAACTCGACATTGCTGTATCATGTGACTACGTTTGTCTTCGATGAAAAGTGAGATAACGTTCTAAAGTAAGCCCTTTTGAGGTGAATATATAGAAAACTAAGATACTCATAACTCATTCAATTCAAACCAAACAGCTGAAATTTTTAGGGAAGAAACATTTTTATTTTGGAAATATAAGAAACTTTAGCTATACTATCGTACACAACAGACAGAATAGAGTAGGACACCAAACTCCGATGTAAATCTACTTGGTTTTGAATGAACTTAATATGAAACTTTGTTTCGGAAAAACGGCAAGAAAAAAGAACACATCCATAAATTGCTTTTTCCCTTTGGTCACTTCAGAATGACATGGCCTTTTACGGGTTACGTACGCTCGCTTGTTTCCTCTTGGTGTCATAGTACGAGTGCTTTTTGTGGTAGGTTTACTGAGATTTAATAGGAATGAAATGTGGTGTGAATGAAGGTATGTGATGGACCGAATAATTTAGCAAGAAATAAACATCTATGGCTACGATTTAATCCTTTCTCTTAGTAGTTAGTCTGCTGTAATGCTGTTTTCTTCGAGAATTGCTTTATACGACAATGGTATTTGCATCTGTAAAACAAAGATTGCAATACTTTTGAAACTGTCTTAGTCAGAATGTTTGTCTTTTTGCTTTTGTAGATTGTTAATAGAAATATGAGTACACCACGAGAGGATCGTGTGAGTGACGTTGATGAAGAAGATGAAGAAGATAGCGAATGCCCAGATTCGAGTGTATGTTTGCGGCTGTGTAAAGATTTTGTTACAGCAACTGAAACAGACAGGGCTTTAGCAATGATGTTTCTTCAGCAAAATAAATGGCAAATCGATGCAGCTGTGAATGCTTATTTTGATTCAACGCGTGGTACGTCACCTAACGAAAATCATGAGAAATTAAAACGCATTGGAACTTACCTGAAAATGGGTTCACAAACCGACGATAGAAATGCATCATCAAAAATCGACAAGAAGTAAATAATTACATTTATCCTTTAATAGCGAAAAAGAATAATTGTCTTTCGTAGACGTTCGAATACAATTAAAGAAGAAAACACCGACTGTTCTGAACGAAAAACATTGAAAATTGATAGTCAAGCAGTGTCAGATAATTTGACAGCAACAACAACGAAAGAATCGCGTTTCAAAATTTTGTCATGGAATATCGATGGTCTGTGAGTATCACTAACAACTATTTTCACGTGGAGAGTTTATTGAATATTGGTGTATTTAGAGACAATGTAATATTAGAAGCGCGAACTCGTGGTGTGTGTGACGTTATTAAACGGTAACTAATCCACAGCAAAACCATTATTTTCAATTTATTTTTTTTCTGTTCTAGAGAACAACCTGATGTTATTTTTTTTCAAGAAGTTGTTCCACTCACAATGGCAATATTAGAAAGTTCGTTGACAAATTATTCATCAAAAGCAGGTAATTATTACTTACCTACTGTATTACATGTTAATTTGTAGACATCTTGTTATGCTTTTTCTTATAAAGGTGGTACTGACATGTACTTTGTGGCAATATTTACAAAGAAAGATACAGTTAAAGTACAACGAGAAGAAATCATTCCTTATCCAACCACACAAATGGGACGAAATTTACTTGTACTTCACGTATGTTATGTCTTAATTTCATGGTTTTTATTTCTAAATTATTAGACGTGTTGTTTTGTTTTCAGGCTTTGTACAATAATACAATTGAACTTGCTTTAATGACGACTCATCACGAGAGTTGTGCAGAAAGTTCGGATGAACGAAAAAGACAATTGCAAATGTGTTTTGAACAAATAATCACAACTGATAAAAGTGTTGCTGTATTGTTTGGTGGTAAGTTAGCTCTTCAGGCAACAAAAAAATGTATTAAGTTGTTTTTTTCTTTTTCTTTCCCACTTTAGGTGATTTAAATATGCGTAATAAAGAACTTGAAAGTATTGGCAATATTCCAGCAGGTGTATATGATCTTTGGGAGATGACTGGTAAACGAAAAGAATGTTTATATACTTGGGATAGCTTAAAAAATACAAATTTAACATTTTCTGGTAAATGGAAGCCTCGTTGTCGTTTCGATCGTTTATATTATCGTCCATCAAATAAAACATCGACAACTTTTATACCAGTTTATTTTGAATTAGAAGGCATGGAACGTGTAAAACCAGGTGATCGTTTTCCTTCCGATCATTGGGCAATTCAATGTTATTTTAATACTTAAAGTGAATAAGCTCATTAGAAAAAACAATCCAAGCAATCGCCAGATAGAAAAAGAAAATAATCTCGGGAACAAAAAATGACAGAGTTGTTTATACACGTTCTTTTAATAGTAATAAGATAAAATGTAGTCTTTCAGCAGGTTTTATTTCTTTCACTCTGACAAGAACAGAAATAGTCAGTCACGTTATATTTCTTCATTTATATTTTATGTTATGAACTTTTTTTTCGCTACGTTTATGGATAGTAATGATTATTTACACAATATTTTTTATACTCATTTTCACTGAATGTTGGAGTTTACTTTTCTTGCTAATAAATCAAATATTCTTTTTTATGAAAAGCCACACTGTTTCCTAGAGACTCTTTTAAAGTCTCTTTAAAAAGTAGAGTGACGAAAGTTCAGTTGAAAACGAGAAAATAAAGTATTATATTAGGCTTTTCAAAACTGTCACGTATATTTGATAAAATTTTGGCGTTTTCTATTACTTTGATGAAATACTAATCGTAAATGTGTCTATTGCCATCCATATGAATGTTATCCGTACAGAAGTTTATAGTATTGTGTCTTCAAAAATTGCCGAGGTATGTAAATCATTTCGATCACTTATATCTCATTAAAACTTTTTCAATAACTATTACAAACTTATTATTTACTGCTGAGTAGTTTTTAGATGATATTTCTACTATTTATATGATAAATATGATAGAAATTTATTATATTATTTTATTTTTCTCGATTAAATAATGGATACAATATCCACTAATGGTTTAGCTTTAATTACTCAAAATTATAATCATATCACTGACGCTACTTCAGCATCATTATCAACATTTGGTGATGGACGTTCATCTTCGGCTCAAAACAATTTCAGTTATATCCACTATTGGTCAACGGCAAAAAAAATCGAATTATTATCATCATTTTCTCGTTGTTCAACACCATTATGCGTTTGTACTGGCTGGAAACACGAACAATCGGCCGTCTTGAATGGTGATGATAATACAGCAGCTACTGAGCAATCGAAAAAACTCTATTGTACTACATGTCAACATTCTTTTGATTGTCATTCAAATCGTTGGTTAAACGCTAATGAACAACAAATTGAATATGGCATACAGTTGTTATTAGATGCTGATTGGCTTATAACGATGGGTGCATCAAACGAACATGATCTATCAACAAATCGAATTATTCTATTTACTGCACAAGTATTACATAATACAATTGGTGATCCGTTTAATTATAGTGTTAGTGCCGGTCTTGGTAATCTTATCGGTTCACCGCCATTTGAACAACCAACCATTTTAACAGCTGTCATTAATTTTGTCGCTTATCAATACACAAAAGCAATTGAAAATAAAATACAAATTATATTCGAAGCTGCTAAACATTTTTTACATTTAATTAATACATGGAAGATGCCATCAATTGTGTCGTATATACTATCGAAACAGAAAACAGAACAAACATCAATAAATAGTGATAAAGTAATGAAAACAATACCAAAAAATGATGAAACGATATTAACGGTAGGTATACTATCAAATAATGAATCTTGTTTTAGAAATTTAAGAATAGTTGCGACTAACATGCTAAGAATTTTAATAAAAGTGAAAATCAACAATTAAAATTATAATTCGATATTTTGACCTATGGATACGGTCATTTTCAAGTTGCTCTTCGGACAGAATGTTACATATTAAACATTAAAATTTTTTATTAAAATTATTAACATGTTAGCCGCAAGTATTCTTAAATTTCTATTTTTAACCTTGCTCATTAGTCCACAAAATGTGATTGAATCTTTCTTTCTTGTATTGATGAATACTTCATTTGTGTTGTTGATATTATACTACTTGACTATAACAGGCTTTTTTATACACAATAAAACAGTACTCTCGTCTATTTGTTTAATGAGAGACGTTCTCTTTTTCGATAGGATGAAAAACCTCAGGCAGCGCCTGTGAATGGTGACGAATCGCAACCGTCTTGTTCTTCATCTTCATCGTTCTCTCAAACAACATCTACAAAAAAGCCCTTGGATAATCGAGAATATGAATTATGGTATGCTCGATGGACAAGTTATTGTATCTTACCACAAATATGCAATAAAACAATGATAAAGTATGATTGTATAAATATATTTGGTCTCACATATATGAAATATATTTATGAACATTTTAAAGTTGAAATACTCAAACGTATTGAACAACGTCAATTATCCTCTAGTCTCGTTTTTCAAAATTTTATTGATTCATTTCAACAAACATTCGATGAAACATCACCATCCCATTGTTGTTGGAATAAATGTTATGAACGTCCAATAATACCGATTGAAGCGGAAATTTATACGTTTACACAATCAAAACAACAATCATCATCGTCAGACAATTCTAGTCAAACTACTCTTCCTCCAACAATATCAGCATCAACGACAACAACCACAACAGCAACACCAACAACAATAAAATATGAACCAGAAAAGAAAGTAACTCGTCGTGTTTCAAAAGCATTGACAAATAAACGTCGTCTTGAAACGCCTACATCATTGCAAACGATCGACAAACAATCACTAACAAGTTCATCGTCATCGATCAATTCGTATCATCCCTATTCACATGAATTCGCACGTAAAATATGGTCGAACGTTAAAGAACACCATCAAAAACGCATACAAGCAGAAATAGAAAAAACATTGTATAAAGCGAATCCAAAGCGAGATGAAGTAGCTCGATTAGCTGAACAACGTGGTTTTGCTGAATTTCATTTGATTAAACATAATTTACAAACATCAAAAACAGCAAATGAGACAGATATCATGTATAAACGCTTATTACAATTAATTAATGTATTTTCACGAGCACTACCAAAAATGCCACAAAACTATATAGCACGCACAGTATTAGATCCGAGACATCAATCACTAGTCATTATATTTACTTCCAAAGTAATTGGTGGTATTACATACGTAAGTATATTATGCTCTCTAGCTGGCTTTCGCTAAATACAATAATATACTCTTTCGTACAGCTCCACTCTGTTAAAGCTTTGATTGTTCTGACTATTAATTCTTCCTTGATATAACGATGGAAGAGTTGAGTAAAAAAGATAACGATTCTTTGTCTTATCCTGTTTGTGCTACGAAGAAAGAAATGATTTGATTTGGGATCATCTGCAGTAGTCTGCGGGAAGTATAGGCTGTTAGAATAAACGTTACTAATTGTTGATCACTTGTTTATGATGAATGATTTTAATTTTATTTAGAGAATGTTTCAACATCGAAATTTTACTGAAATTGTTTTTTGTGCTGTTAGTGAATATCAACAAGTTCGAGGTTATGGAACACATTTAATGAATCATTTGAAAGATTATCACATTAAAAAGAATATCAAACATTTGTTAACTTATGCTGATGGATTTGCCGTAAGTTTGATGCAATCTGAAGTAGTTTTAGGTCTTCAAATGCTCCTTTCCCATCATCTTTGTTAATATTTGCAAAGAAGAAGAAATCAGTTTTTGCAAATTCAATAATCAAACGATGTTTTGTTTCGTAGGTTGGCTATTTTAAAAAGCAAGGTTTTTCATCAACAATAACACTAAATGAAAATGTTTATTTGGGTTATATCAAAGATTATGATGGTGCAACGTTAATGCAATGTGATTTATATAATGACATTTGTTATACAAAATTAACTGAAACATTCACATTAATTAAAGATTGTTTGCATACGTTAAAACTTTATAAACATCAAGAATTGTTACATTGTTATGGTGAAAAGTATGGTGCCAGATTTGCTATGGATGATGATAGTAATGAAAATACAGATGATCGTAAACAAATGATACCGGATGTCTTATTTAATGAACAAAATGATGAACAGCCAGATGTACTGTACATAACACTGAACGGTGTCTATAAGGAAATACGCCAGCATTCAAATTCTATCTATGTTCAACGTTTAAAATTGAACTCATTATCAACGAATGATCATACAATATTATATCCAATTGATTTAGATTTGATACAAGAACGCTTAAAAGTACAATATTATCAAAATTCGTATACGTTTATCGCTGATATGAGTCGATTGTTACATTTATCTCGACATATTTATGAGCAGAAAAAAGAATATCAAGACATTAAACTATTTGATGCGTTTGTGAGAAGAAAAATGAATGAATTTGGATTAGAAATGCCGAACAATGCGTTATAACACATAAGTTTTTCTCCATTTACTTTCGGTATATTTGTTGTCGAATGATCATGTCAATTGTATCAAACTCCTGTAGTCATAATTAATTCTATAAGATGATTATATAAGTTAATCTCTCTGTAAGCTCAAGTACTAAATGTACTTTGCAGTTAATTTTCGTCTACTGTTAACTTAGAATCATTATTTGGAATTTTGTATAAAACGTCTTAAAGCTAGTAGTTCATTTGAATTTGTTTCATATATTAACACTGTTTCACTTCATAAGTTTAATGTTTGTTATTTAACATTTCATAATTGTAATGGTAAACTTCTAGCTTTGATTAACCGTTTGAAACACTATTTTTTCTATTTTACTCAATCTTATGGATAAAAAAGCGTTCTCCCTTTGCTATGTTTTTATTTTTACTTTTATTTTCATTTTTGTTTATAGAATAGTAAAAAGAAACTGTTCATTTTTGTATGTTGTTTTCTCTTGTAAAAGTTGTATCCGTATCGGATATTCATGTAAATAAATAAAGCTAAGATGAATATAGAAAAAAATATATGATGATGATGAAATAAGAGCTTTATTTAAAATATGTGTCTTCTATTTAGAGATGAAGATTCTAAATATCAAAAGATTATTTTAGATTTGAAGAAATGCCACGACCAGGATTGAGAAATTGTTTGTCTGAAGATTTTCAACAAATCGAAGGTTTCTTTTTCACATATTTTGTTTGAATTTATTGTAAATGATTTTCGCTTTTTAGCTGGCGGATCAGATACTCCTCTTCGATCCATTCGTAAACAAAATTCACGAAAATTACGTTCTGTTGTTTCATATTCTGAAGATCTACCTAGCGGTAAGTTATTTTATTTATTTTACTGAAATTTTATATTCTCAACTGGTTTATTTCAGGGACTAATTCAGCAATAAATAGTCCATTTCGTTCTATTCGTCAACTAAATCCGCGTATGTATCTTTTTAATCTATCTCTATCTATTTTACATCCAATATGATCATTTACAGAATTATCTGCTGCAAAAGCAGCTTTACATTCGACGTTATTACAACGTATTTGTGGACGCGAAGAAGAACGTCGAACAATTGAACAATTTTTAGCACAAAAACTCAGCAATGTTGCTGACAAAACTAAAACTAATAATCCTTGTTTATATATTTACGGTGCACCTGGTACCGGTAAGATTTAAACAGATGTGAACGTCATTTCTTTATGATCTCTCTATCGACCTATTTGATTTAAGGTAAAACAGCTGTTGTAACAAATGTGACAAATTTTTATAGTGTAAGTATTATGAGAAATCGACAATTTCGTTTGTTTCTATTCTTTTCATTTCTTCATTTATCAGGAACAGAAACAATTAAAAATAGTTTCAATTAATTGTATGTCTACAACAAAATTATATGATATACTTCAACAAATACTTGACTGTTTGAATTGTAAAACAAAAATTACGACAAAAAATATTTGGACACTATGTGAAACGTGTATAGAAAAGTTTAGTTTGCCTGTGTGAGTACTATCTGTTTTCTTATGTTTACTGTATTTTTAAACAGCTTTAATTTAATTATTTAAGCAGCATCACACTGTACATCCTAACCAGTTTTATTCATTTTGAATTTTACGACAGTCTACTAAAAGATTGACTTTTGAACAGCTTTTTTATTTAGAATAAAATAAGATGTAAATTTGTATTATTTATTCTAGTGTTCTCGTTTTCGATGAAATTGACGGTTTGTTGCTGTCAAATGACGTTGAAAATATTTACAAATTATTTCAATGGCCACATGTACTGGAAAATTTGCTTATGATTGGTAAATATTGTAAAAACTGTTGAGAAAATAATGAAATAATATGCTTTTCTTTTCTATTGTAAGGTATTGCCAACTCCCTCGATTTAACCGATCGTTTATTACCACGATTACAGTTGAAATTAGAACATAAACCCTCTTTACTGAGTTTTACACCTTATACACGGGATCAAATGTTGAATATTGTACATGATCGGTGTGTATACAATTTCTAAGAAAACTTTGGAACCTTTAATAAAATTATTCGTTTTTATTTAGTCTTAGTGGTAATCCAAATGATCTGTTTGATCGTAATGCATTAATGCTATGTGCAACAAAAGTAGCATCAACAACTGGTGACTTACGAACCGTCTTTGAAGTATGTCGGTAGGTATAGAATTGAAATTATGAGAGTAAACATATTTTATTGATATTTCTTTTTGTTTAGACGTTCAATGGAACTTGTTCAACCACCATCTACAGAAATGGAACATCTGAATATAGGTGTGGGTCATGTGATGCAAGTATTTGAATCGAATCATAAAAATACAAACACATCTGATAATGTAAAGACGAAAGAGTTGCCAACGTATGAAAAAATATTATTATGTTCATTAATTGTTTATATGAAAAAGACTAAGAAACGACTATGTGCACGTGGAAAGGTATGAAAGATGAGTGATTTTTATTTTTAATAAATTCTCTTCGTAATTGCATTATGTGGTGAAGATAGACAATCAATGATTTGTGAATATGAACTTATGAGAGAACCTCCCGAGACGATAAATCGCTTTTTGATCGACACCTAGTACGTTATAGGTTATCGACCATCCTGATTCCAAATATGACCATGGGGGTTCCCCATAGCCCTTCAAAGATCCGGTCTTCTGGAAAACCAGCTTTTTAGAAACTCTGAAAAATAACCCAAACCTTTCTTAACAATGCAGAATTGTAGCGCGCAAATTTCTGATTAAAATGAAACATCCCCCAGCTCTACACGACTTTTCTTTGCAAAATTATAGAATTTATAAGAAGAGCCCTAAATTGTTCATCGTCAGCTCAAATCTACAGAAATATCAAATCAGAAATTTGCGCGCTACAATTCTGCATTGTTAAGAAAGATTTGGGTTATTTTTTAGAGTTTCTAAAAAACTGGTTTTTCAGAAGACCGGATCTTTGAAGGGCTATGCGGAAGCCCAATGGTCATGTTCGGAATCAGCATGGTCGATAACCTATAACCTACTAGATGTCGATCAAAAAGCGATTTATCACTTCGAGAGGTTAGACTATCGCATGTCTATAGCCGTGTTTATCATCCATCTGGTATATGGAAAAACCATGAAAATCACCTTTTCTTTAAATGTTCAATTCACAAATCAAAAAGTGATATAATAATTCAAAATATAAGCTCTTTTTGTTTAAGGTTCAGTCATTATTTGATAATATATGTCAAACACAGAAGATAACTATACCAGAAGAAAATGAGTTTGATGGATTAGTTGATGGTTTAGAAACAAAAGGTTTTATTAAAATAATTCAATCAAAAACCAAAGTTAAACGCGATGATCAAGTAAGAATCATTGTTTGTTTTGTAGGATAAACTTTATCTTTATTTCTTTTAGATTCAATTTAAAGTAGAAGAACAAGTGCTTATCGATACATTAGAAGATGATACATTGTTAGGGATCGTGTTACATAATAATATTGAATGAATCATTTACTCTACATGATGTTAGTCAGATAAAGTTTTATTTTTTCCTGTTTTCCTTCGAAAAGTAGTCTCTGCTGATCTTTACCAATTAAGTTTCGCTTGTGATTCACGACAAAAATGACAGATATGTGGTCAGATATGTATATATATTTTTTTGTGCATAAAACAAAAAATCTATTTTTGGGTATTATTTAAAAACTGTTTTTTGTTTGTTTGATTTGTAAGCACATGTAAAATATTTCTGTAAAATAACAAACTTAAAGACGATAATTTAGTGTTATGCAAAGATTCTTGATTAACTTAGTTAAAGAAGTTGAAAGTGTGATTTTGTCAAATCTGTTTCAATGAGCTTTTTCAATAACAGTTTTAGACGCAGTCTAATGAAACTAATATCACTAATACAAAAATGTAACTCATAAAATGATTTTATGCAACATCCCAACTGTTTGAATGAAGTATGACCATAATCACAAATAGCTCAGTTTCGTAGTCATAGCGTAGTATTGATTATTAATATTAACGTATTATCGTGGCAGCATCAGTAATACAATTGTAAGTCACATACTCTTTTAAAAAGTAACTTTAATACCTCAGTCACGTTCATTGCTAATCCTTTTTAACTGCAGAGCAGCCATTTTAGCGAGTCAGAGTTACCCTTAAACTGAAAACTACACAGATGAAATATTTTATTTATCATTTCATGATTAAAGAGGTGGTGTGTGTGTAGACTGGTGAAAAGAAATCCGTCTCTCATATCGACGAAATTACGATATTTTTGGTTCTTTAGTACGGGAGTCCGTACATAATCGTGATGAAAATTATTAAAAAACACGACTAAATCGCTCACCCTCTTAGCCACCAAAAAATCCACTCGGAGCGCAGTTTATACTTTATTCTTACCTAAAGTTAAATTTTGCGTTCATAATTTATTTAAATCGTGACTTAACATCTGTTATAGACTTTTTATTCATTCAATCACGTTTTTCTAACGCAACTTAAGTTACCGACTAATAGATTTTTTTGCCATGATGAAAGAGGGCGTACACTTACTGTAGACGTAGCGTTTTTCGCAGAGGGGGTATGCGCTTATTGAGTGGTGGTGCATCTGACGAATGAATGAACATAAAGTCAAATGGTACGTTGTCATGATCTGCTGTGGTAATAATGAAAAAAAAGAGTGCTTTATTATTTCGGTTGTTTCTCACCAGCCGTCAATTGACGATTAGGAGGAATTTTGAAAAAGACTAGCCGTTAATTCTAAAAATATGCAAAATGACAATATGACAGTATGAAAAGGCGAATATTATGTTGATTTTGATCTTTTCATGGGATAAGATGTTTATCTGGTAAAATTTAGTGAACTGCTTCATAAATAGTAAATTTTGAGAGTAAATCGATAGAAAAAAAGTTTTTCGGCAGCGACATCAAGCTTCCATTTTCTCAGAATTTGCGATGAAACCGTACCTTCATATTTATTTTGGAGAATCGAACTTCTTCGTTACCAACTATCTTTGACGAAAAAAATTGACAACTAATGGGAGTTTTCCTATCCCAGTGAATACAGAGAGAAACGGGCTGACAGTTTTTTCATAACAATGTTAGTCATCTGCTAATGCCATCGGAATATTCTGGCCATGGAGATCGTTCTCTCCTTTCCGCCATATAGAGAACCTTGTGCTGTAGAGAGATCTTTTGTTGTATTTTTTAACTTTTTGAAAAAAGCGAGGGTGGACACTTGGGAATGTTTCCTTGTAATTCGGCGGTGATATGAACCACTATAATGAGCGTATCTCACGAAGTACAATAAATCACTGTTATCACCAACAAAGAACAATTCCATTTTCTGCTGAAAAATATATTTTGATTGAAATAATCAAAATAGTACACATGAAATTTTCCACGTTTTCTTTAGTAGTAAATAAAAAAAGATTGTGGACCACCATTTTCCAAAAACCCTAGCTATGTTCAGGACTGCAAATATCAGGAGGGTGTAGGAGGATGCGCACTCCCTGAATAATTGAAATTTTTTTGTTTTTTATAGTGAATAATTAGAAAATCAGCCCTTTTATAATATCTCTGGAAACAGGACATAGTAAAACACTATTAGTTCTGTGGGGCTCGTTTCTAACATTTCATGATATTATGAGCGGAAAATATTTTTCGGCTTTCGTACTACATCGGACGGCTGTTTTAATAGGTTTCGCACTACCTCAGAGAGACATTGAATTTTACACGCCCTTAATATTCGTCTTTTTTTGCGGTCCTGGCTATGTTGATGTGACAGATCATGAAACAATGAAGGCGGAAAATAAAAACTAATAGCATTCTTATTTAAATTCACGACTTTCATATAAATCACACTGTGTTCTCAAAAACTCGAAAGAAAGTGCACAAAATAAGTATATGTTTTGATCACACCACATGAATAAGAAACAGCTATCCTAGAAGTTATATCTGTTATACTTATTTTTTTCTCGTTTACACTAATTCCCCCAATTTTTTTCTCATACTTTTATTTCTTTCACTATTTTGTCATCTATTTTTTTTTATTCGATAGTGCTGCTCAGAATAGATTGGTTTCATATTTGATTAAGAATGGCCCTTACTTTCTGTCTTTTTGTCTACATTCAGACATCCTTTCTTTTTTCTCGTCTTTTCAATTTTCCGATTCAGAAATGTTGTTACAATTAGAACCATTACGTTTCGTTTCGTTCATTTATCTAGAAAATGGCCGATGATCCTGAACCAAATGGCGAAGGTAATGTGCTATTATTTTTCATGATCATGATCATCATTTATTCATTAAACGCTTTTATTGAATTAAGAAATGAATGCTATTACAAAACGACCACGTCGAACAAAACGAAGTAATGACTTTCTTCTTCGTCGTAATCAGTCAGAAACACGACAAATATCATCAAAAATGAAATCTGAACGAATTGAAAATCAAATAAATGGTGGACGAGATCCACCCGATCCATTTGAGATCGGCGAAATTGTATGGACTAAATTGCATGGATACCCTTGGTAAGAAAATAATTTTTTTCCCCTACTTGATATTTTAGATCATTTGTTTTGTGTTTAAAAAGGTGGCCCGCTTTGATATTTGGCTGTTTTTCAGAAAATGGCACTCCCCACACAAAAATAGTAGGCAAGTATACAGAAAAGTAGAATTACAAAGCGATTGTAATCTCTTTTTTTTAGCTGCTGGCTCTCGTTGTTCGAAACGTCAATATTTTGTTTATTTTTATGGGCCTTATTTTGAATACAGTTGGGTGTTTACAGCATCATTACTGAAATATTCAGGTCTGAAAGATTTTATTCAAAATGCAGAGACAGCCGTTCAACAAGTAAATAGACGTTATTTTTTTGCGATGAAAATGTCGTGATGTGAGTAAATTCTGTTTATGTTTAGACAACATCGAAACTAGAGCAAGAAAAATTAGCTAATCGTTATCAATTGAAAGTTAGTGTTCAAAGTCGTTTACGATGGGACGGTGGTAATTGTTTAAATTAGCTAATAAAAATTGATCGCATTTTATTCATCCAAATTCGTTTACATTTTAGCTATTGCAGATGCTGACCGCGCATTGAGTATGCCAAAAGAAAAACGAATTGAAGAATTTGGTGATCTAATAAAGGATATTTTGGCAAAAGCAAAGGGTTTGGAATGTAAGTTGAGAAAATGCAATCACAAATAAAGTTCGCTGCCGGATTTCGTTGAAGCTAATGAAATGCTACAGCGATAAATATCTGAATTGTTCTTTTGACACTTTACATGTGCTAAAACATCAGAACTAGTGATGGTGATGACAATGATTCGATTTTTGTCAACTTTTTGAGAGATTGATCTTATAGCTTTCCAGGCGAATGTTGCCATTTGATAACAATTTTTGCTGTGTTTGAAAAATTGCTGACTGGAAAGGATTTAACGCAGTGTCAATATTGCGTATTAGTTACGCAATGCCCCATTCTGCTTTAAAAGATACATGGGATGAATGCTTGTACTTCTTACTGCCAGTTTAAATGAGTGTAGTCCTGCTTTACTCAAATTTTTCTTTTTCAGCTGATCCTTCAACAAATGTCATTGAATTAGACAATGAAGCAACGAACAAGGTAACTTTTCCTCGATTTGTAACCTCTCAAATTTTATGAAAAAATTCATTCAGAAATTAGCAACTACAAAACAGCGATCATCAACGTCATCACGTACATCATCTGTATCTCGAAAAATAATTCCTCAACGATCACCAACAAAAAAAACAGCTCATACCAAACGTTCGCCAACATCTCTTGCAGAGAAAAACCCGACAAAAAGTTCTTCAAATAGTCGTTTATCAACAAATAATGAATCAAAAATAAATAAATCAAATCAGTTAACAGTACCAACCACTAATAATACCACTCCATTTGGCAAACGAAAGTGGAATAGTGAAGAAAATGCCGGTGACTGTATTGTAACATCTGAAACCACTAAAAAATTACATTATATGGTAAGAGAAAAACGAATTCAGATAAAAAACAGCTCATCATTACGGTTCTTTTCTATTTCTAAGACATCGAATGATATTAGTCCATTATCATTACAACATGACATAGCAAATAAAACTTCGGAGCTAGCTGAAATTCAAATGACTTCATTACACGCAGGTCTACCAATGTTGACAAAATATGAAGAGAAAAAAATAGCAGATGATTTGATTAATTATCTGGGTGATCAACTGTTAACATTGGATGATGCACAAACATTTGCGTGTGAACAAGCGATGGAAATTATCAAGTATGTATTGAAGACAAATCATGTGTTCAAACGATATAATGTCTTAACTTCTTTCAGTGAAAATTTTGGTTATCGTATGTCTTGTGTTCAAGTCGAATGGTTTTATGATCTTTTACTGTAAGTAGTCTATTTTTCTAAGCAATTATCACTTATTTATACTTATTTTGTAATGATGTTGAAGGAAAAATATATTCTGGCTAAAAACTCACGTTCTGTTAATATAACGTATCAACATTTCTTAATGTCCATTTCATTTGGTATTTCAGTAAACATCCACAAATTTTCTTTAAACATCATCATTGGTTCGATCATCACCAACTTGGAACAATTCCGACTCATGGTGATCCAATTGATCTAAAACGGTGGGAGTGTCAGGCCATATTGCTTGCACAAATGTTAAAAGAAAAAGAAATAACAGAAGATAGCCAGCAGCAACAGAATCTACGATCGAGTCGACTTAAATGAAAATATTTTTTTTTGTAAATTGTCTGTTTTTTTTCTCTATTTTAATCAATGGCTGGAATACTCATTTCGTTTTCTCAGAGTTTAATGTATAGTTACAGAAACGGTGCTTCACAAAAGTTAGTCGTGTTTTTTCTTTTCTTTTATCTATATACTGAACACAACTGACCATTTTCGCTCTTCTTCACCTTAGGTTTTTTTCAACTTTGTTATTATCGACTACAGTTATGTAATTAATTTTTGTTTTCATGTTTATAGTTGTTATTTTCATGTTATATGTATAATAGTAGACAAATGACTCTACCATCCTCTATCTCATGAAGTATGACAACTATTGACTTGAAAGTTTTGTGTGGAGATAGTCCATGCAATAGAAGTTGGACACTATACACATTCCAAGTCATTTGAGTAGATTTGAGTGTCTTAATTTTACTTTTGTTTACTAAAAAGTCGATAATTTATGCTCCGAGAAGAATAAGTACTTTTTTCTATATTAAAATGCAGGGCTGCCTGTGACTTATCTAGCCTGTAAATTTCATAGGTTGACTCTTTTAATATAACTATTTTACAATTCACAGTTACCTTTGACAGTATAGATGTTTGTCAAAAATATAGCGATAAGTTGATCCAAAAAACATTCTCACATCTGCTTATGAACGTTTGTAAATTATACGTAAAGTTTCAAGGTTAAGTATTGGAAAGCTGAGAATATTTAGGTTAAAAGTGATTAGATAATAATAAAAATCTCTGGTATGGCAAAAAATTGACGAAGTAGCAAACCAATCATCTGTTAGTTTTTCGTTTGTATATCTCCGTTACTCAAAGAATCCTTTTTTTGTATTTTTAGTTGTACATTCTATCACCTGTTAGGTATGGAAAGAAACGTAGAACTAACATATTCGATTACGTAAGTTCATTTCGATGAAGAAAGTCATTGAGTCGATTGCACGACGTCAATCGTTGTACAGAATATAGTCACAGAACAGTGGATTTAGTTTTGCAGTTTAAACTAAGTTCATGTATTCAAATCTCTAGTCATACGAACTTGATTCTTTGTTTTCGATAGTTTTAGTTTAGAATACTATAATGGAATGTTTTTCCGCTTATATTCTGACAGAATAAAGCTTATATCAAAGTCATTTAATGTTTGATTCGATGATATTCGGTTAGACAATATGTCTGACGAACACAATTCTGCTGTTTTATGTTTAAAGTTACAACACAGAGAGAAAAATCTTAGAACGTCATTAAGACAAATATAATTAGTATGTTAAATTCATAATTTAAAATATTAGACTCTCGATAAGTATCACCGTATAGATGCTGCTCTCGTTCTTGAGAATCAAGATGATATCTGCACAAACTTAAGTAGACACATAAATTCGAACACAGTGAAATTCAGATTTATTCATCTGATGAGATCAATTATGAGAACAACTATTAAAAAAAATTACATATCGTAAATCAAATGAACATCGTATTTTAACAGACATTCATAATTTCGCCAGGTTTTGTTTCATTTAGCATAATTGTCAAAGTATTTCAACACTTTAGTCTGATCTGATATTTTTGTTTAGCAATATTATGTTGTTGATTTTTTCGGGTAAATTAGTCAATTGAACACAAATAATCTATAATCCGATAAGCCGCTTATTATCATATATAATTCACTTGTTGATCAGCAGTAAGATCAAAAGTAAAATGCGAGGTCTAAGCTTAGAAATAGATTATGATCCTTAGAAATAAACATGTCTTATCGTCTTCGAATATTTTTTATTCACATGCTTTGAACCGGCCAGTTGAATTATCCATAGTGGTAAAATCCTGAAACTAAGTTCATAAGAGTTCCACATAGAAGCAGCAGTTTAATAAAACACGGAACAGATCAAGCGAATATCTTTTATTTACATCACCTAGTAAGAAAAAAACTTGTCCAACCAAAATATTTCTTTTATTGCTGTTAAACGACATTGAAAAAATGAGTGAATTTAATCCATTTATTATTGAACAAAAAAGATGAATATTATGGGAAATAGCATGGTATTTAATTCAAGAAACATTGATTCTACAACTGAAACGAGTGCTATCATTAATTGTTAAATATAAATAATTAGATTTACACAATGATACAGAAGAAAGAGAAAGAATGTGACAAAATATTATTGCAAATATTTTAATACAAAGAAGTTAAATTGAGAGAGATTCGGGATTATACTGTTCGGGAGTGAAAATAATCTTCTAATTCACGATAGTCAATATTTCCTTTTAAAAGATATATTCGAAGATACAGAAAACAGTTTGAGAGTGAACAACGACTTTTACTATGCAAGTTAAGACGCATAGTTTTAATAACAATCATCGGTTAATTTTGTTAACCGGAGCCCTGGTTCGATTCCCAGTAGAGGCACGCTTCTTGTGAATCTTTGTCTATCGAAAGTTCACTCGCTAGAAAACTATGTTTCTTTTTTAAAAAAGCAAATAGAATGTGTATAGCTGTTAAACATGGAAGAAGGGAAAACACCGTTCATTTTAGTTCTATTAAGTCAAATGTTAGCTAATGGTAAAATGTTGCTATAATTAATTGCTAAGAATCGTTAACAGGCGTCATGCAAGAATTCTTACGAAATAACTTTAGTGGTTTATTGCAAAACCAAATTTATGTTATCCAATTTTAAAGAGACGCTTTGTTTTCACGTCAAAATCTGTGAGACAATAACAATGAATGATTCGGTTTCCTTGTATTTTATTAACCTGATCGGTTTCGAATTCTTCATAGGTTAACAAAGAACTGTTCAATCGTTGCAGCTACAAAAAATACATACTTCAATCGTTTTCCTTCTTTAATAAACAAAACGCAATAAATGTTCATTGAGTTCCGGATTTAAAATTTCAGCTAACAAAATGAATATCAAAGTTTTTTCTGTTAGAATTCTCAATAATTCTCTTTGAGCAGAAATAAGAGTCTGATAGGAAGGAAACTCCTAAGAATTTCAGAAGAAAGTGATAAGAAATTCTTATCTGTTTCTTATAGATGTGTTACAAAATGGTTATTCTTACCGAATTTTGATAAGAAGTTTTGACATATTTTGTCCTTGCAAGACTTTTCAGAAGAGTTAATTTTAAATTATTCTGGACAACGAGTAATTTAACGATTCCTTTTTACTCGGCGAAAGAGTAAGAAACTCAGTGTTTGACTATGAAACAAAGTCGTTATGCTCTCAAGAGTTTTCTGTCGTTAGTTGTCGATATACTCAGACAAGGAATTCAAAATCTAAAACTGGTTAATCAGAATGTAATAACGAGATGACCTTTCGTTATCACAGTCCGTAATAGCTCAGTGGATAAGAGCACAGCATGGCATACCGTAGACCCTATAGGTTCGAACCCTAGACGGATCGTGTGATGTTTCTAATTTTCTTTTTGTAGAATTCAGATGTACTACTGACGTAGTTTAACTTCTTGAGCATTTTTCAGATCGCTTTACAAAACAAGAATTTCATAAGAAAGTGATAGATATCACTTACTTATGAATTACTTATCAGTCATAACTAAAGTGCATTTTTTCATAAAAATTAAGCTTAAATATTTCTTTATGACGTAGGACTTTTGTAACGTTTAAAAGAAAACAGCTCTGGTTTGAAATCTCAAACACAAATAGATTGATTTTTTATTTACAGCTTGCGTACTAAAAAAATGAGAATCAAGCAAGACCTATCTAAAATCCACTTTGAGTGAAATAACCTATTTTCATGTAGAATAACTCAATAATCTATTTTTCTAAAATTTCACAGGTCATTCCAGAGCAGGATTGGTGTTTCTGACCACCTGAACGACTGGAAACGAAGATCTTCTTTGATTCTCATTTTTCTAATAGCGAAAATTGTAGGCCTCTACCGTTTTTCTACTAAAGGTTATTTAAAAAATAACCATCCACATTATATTTTGAAATGGTCATTCGTTCTCTTGCTTGGTCGTGTCCAAATAGAAGATTTTATGACAAACAGGTTGAACATGAAATAAATTTTAAGAAACGAATAAGAGTAAAATAAAGACGTTAGCTTTGAACATAGATAATTAATACCTGCAGTTATCTCACTAAGTTTATGGAATAAAATACAGAATTTTACCAGCGTAAGAAATACGCGATCTGGACTTAAAATTTTATGAATAAAATTCAGTGAGTTAACTGCAGGTCATCCGCCCATCTCATCCCCTTCTCATTCTTCAATATTTTCTTTCTCTTTTGTTTTCAGAAGTTAATATGATTAACTTTGGAAAGGACCGGATCAACATTATCACACGGTAACGGACGCGGTACAAGATCGATACCACTTTCATTGGCTAATTGCTTGTATTATCACTCAAATAGATTATTGAGTTATTCTACATGAAAATAGGTTATTTCACTCAAAGTAGATTTTAGATAGGTCTTGCTTGATTCTCATTTTTTTAGTACACAAACTGTAAATAAAAAATCAATCTATTTGTGTTTGAATTTGCTTGATTTCAGAGTAAAATGGAAGGACTAAAAATCAAAGACTAAATGCAATCACTTTTAAAATTAAAGTATTACACAAACAACTTTGATCTACAACCTTTACTCAGCCAACAAATAGTGATTTGTTTGATATATCAGTTTTTTGCTGTTGTTTTTTATTTGAGTATCAACCATTGGAAAAAAACAGTGTGGTTATGTAGAAAACATATATAAAACGAAGAGAAATGAAAACACCTAAAAAGGCCAGGAAACATTTATGCATTTGAACAACAAATATTCTCAGATCGTATAGCAAGATAGAATCACTGATAAAAATGTGTACAAATGTGCTTGTCTAGTAGAAAAACAAAAAATTCATTATGATAGATACAAAAGTTTTTCCTCCAAAATATTGATTACTTGAAGACACGACAAAAAAAAATAGAATATTCATTCTCTGAGCATCATTTCTCTCTGAACCAACGATATATTATTATGATTGCCATAACTTGCCTTTGGAAAAAATAAGTAAGAATGAACGCCTGTAGTTAGCTACAGCAACTTGAAACCTCACATGCATCTCTCATTCCTGATGAAAATGTCCTCATGCACTCCTCATTCCTTGGCCCTGTAACCGCTTCTCTCGCTGTGAACACTCGTTCATAGTCAAACTGGCTTTGAGTAACAAGGGTTTTTTGGTTTTGCTAATCAACATCGTACAACTTTCTAAAATTCATCAATACTCAAAACTCAAATGTGTCTTAGCTTTTCACTATTTTCATGAGCTTTAGGTATTTGTGTTCTCTCACTCGACTACTACACAAAAATTCCATTCTCTTTATATCTTTGTTCTTCTCCTCTCATATCGTTCCAATTTGTTTGCTCATCATTTCGATCAAAATTTTGAAAACTATCGTTTCTATCGTCAGTGTAATCTGTTAAATGTTCAATGTCAAGGTCAGCGCCTGCTGTTTCTTTATTATTATAATCATCTGTTAAAATATGATCTGCGTCTGTATTGTTAGCATCAATATAACTATTTAGACCATAGTCTATTTCTTCACTCTCTTTCATTTCTTTCCATGTGTTAAATTCAATATCGCTTTGATCATCCGTGTGATTTCCATTATTTCGTACACTACCGCTCGTTAACATTTGATTTTCCACTACTAAACTACGACGTGGATTAAACACATCTTCGTTTCGTCGTACCGTTTCAACTACATCGTGTTTGTATGGTGAATATTCTCGTCTTCTCGTTTCTCGATAATGTTCTCTCTCTCTCAAGTCACGCTCCGTGTTGTCATGATCACGATGCTTGAGTTTAATATCACTTAAATAAAATGGTTCATGCATAAGATCGAAAGCATTTTGCTTAGTGGCTGTTTGAAAACTTGAACGACGTTGACTTGTTACCAGTGGATGTTGTTGATGGTATTCATCGAATGTTAATGGTGATGTTTCCTTTTGAAAAGGAAGTAATGGTGGTGAAAACGTGGTAGGTGGTATTCGTCCGTTACTACGCATCGTTAATGATTTAACAGTGGATGTGGTTAGCATAGCAGAGCCAAGTAGTTCATCGAGATCAGTCTCCTTCAATGTACTACGACGCGTCGGTATAGTTTCATTTTCATTGTAGATATTCCGAGGTTGCGCAAGACGAAGTGTCGATCCACCATTAGATGTTATTAAATCTTTTGATCGATAAGGACGTACAGGATATATATTACCATTTTCTTTTGTGTGCACTAAAATCAATGGAATAACTGTATTTAGTCTAGAACGGAAATTTCATGATACGGAAATTAACTTTACCTAAACCAGTGGGTGGTTTTCCATTTGAAGAGATGTGATTTTGAAATGTAAGACCTACAAGAATGATAGAAAAAAATTTATTAAACATACAAAATAACTATTTTACTTACTATTATCACGACTGGCTTTATTTTTTCGCCGTCCTCTGAAGAATTTGTTCAAACAACAACAACATAATATGAGAAGTGCAAAGAGACAAGCACCAATAACAACAAATGTTATCAATGGTCGATAAACACGTGTTTTATCTGAAAATTTAAAACAAAATAATATGCTCTGTAGATAGAAGATAAAATAATTGCAATGTACCTTTTATTTTTCCAACTGTTATGGAAAAACTTTTTTCATAATTATCACCATATTTATTTTTGGTGAATACACGAAAATCGTGATGAAGTTCGGGCTTTAGATCAGGCAATATAAAGGCACAATTTCCTATAAGATAAAATTGACTTGTTGAACAATTCAATTTAATGTGTATCTTTTTTCTATTTACCTTTTAATCTTCCATGTTCGGAGTAAGAACCATTTTCTTGTTTTTTATACATGTAGCAAAAAAAATCTTCATCACCTTGATGAAATCCCGCTGCACAATTTACAGTTAATGTTGCATTAATGTACGTATATCGGCAGGATTCAATTGGATCTGGACTGGCTATAATATGAAAATATAATAACAATTCAATCAGAGTAAATGAATACTACATCATCATAAGATTTTTAAGATTTGAATAGTCATATATAGTGCCCTGAAGCGACGAAATATTCGAGACAAAATATTCTCAACAAAGTATGCGTATCTATTGAACTTGGAACTTGTCCCGCTAGTCACTCTCCACACATCTTTTAGATACTCCTTATAATTTACACTGATAAAAATCAGATGTTGATATTGTCATGAAATCATGTAAGATCATAAGATTTTTTATAACTTTTTGTTGTAAAATCTGATCGATCTATACGAAGTACTAAAATCTTAAATAATAATTATATAGAAGATTTTAGAAGATCAATGACTCGTCGTATTACATAAATTTTACTATGATATATATTCAATCGATTTATAAGATAAAAAGTTCTTTTTTTCTTCAACTTCATACATCAGTTGAATGCAATATAAAGTATGTGGCATCGGGATTCTATCCGTGACAGAAAATATTAAAAAAAAATATTATAACAGATAGAGTGAGAATGGTTGGTAAAAAACTGACATAGAATGCTGAATGTTTAGATGAACTCTTATAAAATCTTATGAATTCTTGTTCAACTGTGTAAATTTGTTGTGGGCTTCTACACAAGATAAAATATTGTACGAAAAGACTTATGCAATGTGACAAAAATCTTTTTTCGACGAAATTTTGTGAAAATTTGTTTATGTGATCAGATGATCAGTTTATCGTTTAACACCTATTCTAAGAATAGTTCATCTGACATCGAAAGATCGACATCTATTCTTTTCTTTTTGTACAGTTTTTCTTTTTAATTGGAAAATGATGTTATTTATTATTAGCAATAAAAATTAAATATGCTTTGTTTTATAGTCGCGTGTAACTATCAGAAAAATAAAATAGAAAGTAATAATCAATCATCGTCAGTAAATAAGGAAAAATGAATGTTTTTTGTCTTGTCATTGAGTCAATGAGACATATAGCTATAGATCGATCACGAGCAAACGAAAGAAAAACAAACAGGAATTAGAAGTCTTTTGTTTTCTACTTATATTTTGTGTTACAAAACAATAGCAACATGTTTTTTTCATGTACGAATGTCAATTGGTTAATATATAATTGTATTTACGATAACATTTTTTACTTTTTAATATATCTGCTTAAAAATTGAAAATATTTTCAAAAGTCCGCTTGTACTCATGACTATTTTTTTTGTACTAAATAAATAATTATTTATACAAATGATTTAATCAAACCGTCTGACTATATCTAATAATCGTGTAAACATTTATTTAGTCGATATATGTTTCTATATATGATCGAGAAATGATAGTACTCAATACATACCTCCAAGAATCATTTTTATGTCACATTCACCAATACCACTAAAATCGTTTTGTGCTCTACAACGTATAGTACCAAAATCTTCTATAGATGGGTGAATAGTTAAATAACTTGTTGTAGCATTAATTAAATTTCCAATACGTTTTTGACCTGATGGTAATATCCAAGTAAAATTTAATCGATGAGGATTGGCATCATTCATTTGACATGTTAAATTAACAGCACGATTTTTGCCCGTATAAAAATAGGATACAAATGTTGTGTGACAAGTTGGAGCAACTAAATATGTGGAAAAAAACACAAGTAGTTAAAGTCATGAAAGTGAAGAATATATTCTCTATTACAAAAGATGATCCGTATGATTTATAAAAAGAGAAAAACATCTTAGCAGAAAGAAAATAACAGATTAATCAAACTTTTTATGTAATAACAGCTATCAACACACGTTTATATCTGCAACAACTAATGTAAACATAGAAGAAATTTTTCAATGCTATTCAGTCTAAGAAATGAAGAAATCATTTAAAAGTATATAATCATTCAGACGACAGTATCATTCATCGTGTCCCTTGCAGAAGTCATTAAGTCTTTTAATTTAACTTGATGACAAAAATCTTTTAAAGATCTAAGATAGACTAATGTGATCTATATATGGGCCATTCTGACCAAAACGGATCATAACTACCTTTTATTTGTCTTTGATTCTTCATAAGGGTTATTTTTTTCAACAAGTTCTTTTACTATGAATATATATAAAAATGTTGGCTCGTTAAGCTCACACCAAATTAAAGTTTATTAACTGATTGGTTAATTAGTGAAAGCGTAATTAAAGAATAAACTCCTAACCTTATGACAGAAAAATTTAAAGCTTCCAAGACAGACTTCCTACTTCGAACTATATCTATGATGACATTTTCAGCAAGATCAGACACTAAAAAGTGCCGCTTAAAAAACCGATTTTTCTTTCAATTCTTTGTTTTGCCATCATCTCGAGATTCTCAAGGTTTGCATCATTTAAATTGCCTCTGCACTTATGGTTCAGTAAAAAGGGCACTTTTCGTTTTATATTCGCACTCTATCACGTCCGTAACAGTCGTGTCACGTCCGCAACAAAGAAAAAATAAAGTCGCCAGCAAAATCTAAACAGTTTGAAAAAACTCTTACTAGTGATTTTGTAGCTTGAACTATTTTCTACAAAATGTACGATTTGAATTTAAAAAATGATACGGGAATCAGCAGCTTTTCAGGAGAGAACCACTAGAAAACTGCACTGGAAACTTTTGTCTTTTTTGTCACGTCCGTGACGGCGTAGTTTTTCATATGAAAGGTAGCCTTAACAAATACTTATAACTGTCAATCTTTTACAGTATATTCAGTAACTAGATACCAATATGTCATGGTAATAGAGACATTAGTGTTGTTTTAGTTAAAGGTCTATGGTGGCACAAAGGTGTACGAACGTTACGTCCGTGATGCTGGAGTTGCCTTAATTTCTTGCTAAACTTTGAGCAATCCTTATTAGCTGAGAGATGATCATTACATAGAATATTTTTTCAATAGAATTTTCTCTAGATGTGGTAAACATTTTTTTTGAGAATCAAATCGAACCTTCTCGCAGATATGTCTCTCTCGTACAATTCAGCATTACTGAGCAATGTACAATGAATAATTCTGTTTCACCAAAGTGTCGTAATACACGTACGCAAAAGAAAAATTATTAAAGAAAAAAGATGTGTTCAGATAAATAGATCTAGACACGTTTTATACTCTCTTTTTTTTTACTTCTCTATTAGTAAGATAGAAAAATTTTTTCATTTTAAAATGTACAAATAACTGTTTAAAAATGTAGGTATATAATCTTAATCTAATATTTATTTGTCAGGTATTCCAGTTGTATTTACTTTTTGAAGAATAAACAGTTTAGTCTGGAACTTTCTGAAATGAACAATAAAGACCTTACATTTTATATACTACTTATGTAATTCATCTAAATTGACACCGATTGTTCGTTACTTCAGAAAACTAGACAAATTTTAGTAAAAATTCACCATTAAGATCAGTAACTGTAACATTCATATACTTAATTCGTCTGATGACTATTGTTGTAAATAGCTCGAAGAAATAGAATAATCAATATTTTGTCTATATCACCATGTTTAGCCTTAATAATGTATTGTCGTCGTCACAGTGGTTTTCTAAATGTCAGTAATAAATAGTACAACAATATTGAAGAAACGTAATTTAGTACTTTTTTTACAAGCATTTTCACAACAACGTATATATATGTATATGTGTGCGTGTGTGTATATTTATATCATGATGATATGGTAATAAGCCTATTTGATGTTGTTTGGCATTTTGTAAGTATTGGGCTCATTTAGAAAAAATGAGATGAGATTGACCTCACAGGCTCTGTTTGTTACCCATTTGTAAACAAAACAGAACAAAACGTGAAACTTTTGTTCATTATACATTTAGATAGATAATGATGATAATGATTAGGATAAGGATTGTTGCTTGTCTGTACAAGAAAACTATACAAGAAAATGTTACATTTCATAAAAACATGGATGATGGTGCAAATTAACAGTATGTTCATTACTGACTCTCTCAAATCTCTAGTTTTTCGGTAAATGTTTTACTATATCTCTTTTTTTCTCCTAACCACTTAAACCTGTCATTATTACTAGTATTAATACGTATTACATACAACACGTTTTATAATACTTACGTCTATACATATACTTATAGTTTACAGTAATTGTGTTTATACTATAACGGAAACATAAACTATATCCGTTGATTCTGATATTAAATGCAGTCATTTTACTTTCTTAATAGCATAATCATTATTCTTTTTTTCTTCTTTTTATTAGCTATTAAAATTTCATATAATAGTAAAATAGTTTTAAAATGTTCAATGGTCCGGTAATTTTTTATACATATGCAAATATTTATAATGAGCGAGACGAGGTGCAGTAAAACTTTACCTTATTTCTATATATTTGAAAGGAAATATATAGAAACAAAGGTGGTAGATAATATTTTCAAAAAATCATAAAACTTTAGTAATAAAAACAATAGAACTAAATAAACTTTATTTTAAAATAGTTTTAGATTAGTTTTATTTTTGTCTACTAATTACAGTTTAAACTTACTTTTCTTTTACATTTTTTTTCTAATTATTATTGTTTGTTTAGTACCGTTTTTTGATTTAACGCCTTTTTTTAGGTTTTCGTATAATGTGTGGCAGTGATTAGTAGCTATCTGTTTAACAAATCGTCGATAATAATGAAAAACACTCAGTGTTATCTTTCGTTTAGAGTTATATTTATAAAATGACAATTTTCTCTTATTTTACTCTAGATCGGCGAAACTGTTAAAGTAATACGTACTCATATAATATTAACTAAGAACATGGACAAAAAAAAAAGAAAGCGAGAAAGAAGAAAAAAAAAAATCTAATGGCGCTGTTTCTCTTTCTCTGTTGAGAAGATAAAAAAACAAGACACATAATCTTAATGCAGATGATGCTGCTCATTTGTTCTCTCTCTCTCTTTCTCCCTCTCACTATTATAGTTCAAAAGAGAATAGATAGTGTAATAAATAACTGATAGATATTGTCGTAATAACTAATAATAATAATAATGAAAAATATTAATAACATGATGAGAAACAACAGAAGCCTCTAAATTAACCTCGAGTACTAAATGAAACATGTCAGAATAAACTCTTTTGTATAATTAGCACAAATAAAGAATAACTAAATAGATCAATCAATTATCCAGGTAATTTAGTTTTGAACCCTGCAAACTTTTACTTGATGTTATTCATCTTTGAGGAAAGAAATTTTATTCTTCAAAAGTAACATATTCTATGTTCAATTATTTTATTCTTTATAAGTACGTATCGAATTGTTATTACATATATTGAACGGAGGTCACGTAAAATAATACTTGAAAAGATAAAATAGAAGAATATACAAAACAATATCTCGACATATGAGATACATAAAAAAAAAGTATTACACTATTGTCGAGTGGACGATTAAAGAGAGAAATGACGAGACAGAGATATAGATACCGGAAATATACCCAATGGAAAATGTATATAAAAAAAAAGGTTTTCTTTTTCTTTTTTGAAAAAGAAAAAATACAAGATTGTTTAAAATTAATTTGATAAATGGAACAGAATTTTTCTAATGTAAACATCACTAGTGATAGATGTTGTCATTGTAAGATACTGACTAATACCAGATGGTCTGCATGTATCTAGAATGTGTTTTATAAGGATTTATGTTCTATTTATTGTAAATATCAATATTAAAAAGCAAAATGATAAATGATAGATGTATTTAGTATACGAAACATCTTTAATATTTTAGGAAATCAAATTTGTTTTATAATCGAAAAAACCTTAAACGAAACATTGTGCAACAAACTTGATGAAACAGTTTCTTCAAGCAGAAATACCATAGCTACCATATTTCTTATAGCTACTGGTTGATGTCTTTTGATCACTCAGTAAATAAAAAAAAAAGCTTCAGACATTCATTTATTATATATATGTGTCTATGTATGAATATGCAAATTGTCAAAATTTGTTATCTTTGACGAAATTTTTTTCCATCAATTGAACATCTCTCTCATATTCTTTCATTTCACCTTATAAGAGAATATGTACATGTCTGCGAATCACTCCTTTTCTCTTTGTATATATTGGGATATTGATGTCCTCTTCATATTTATGAGAGGAGCCGCAGGTTATCTGTCAGCTCAATTCTACACATCATCTCTTTCTCTCTGTCTCATATGTTTTCTATTTTGATGCGCAATCACCCGGAAAACGAGAGATGGTCTACCACAAAATAAGATAATCATATTGCTACCATAATTTTAGTTAAAAAAAAAAAAATATGCAATTTCTCTCTTTTAATACAATTAAACTCATAAAATCTAACGGATGCGCTCAATCAATTGAAAAGAATTTTATTTTTAATTCAAGCCTGTAATTATACCGAACTAATCGACGATATGATATGATATAATTATCCATAGTTTATCTTCTGATGTGATGATAAACTTGTTCATTAAAAACAAACACAAAAAAAGTGTTTTAAGAGAAAGATAATAATCGATGACAGTGTATATATGTGTGTAATGAAAAATTGCTTGGATGATTGAAAAGTAGCATACGGTTTATATTGAAAAATAGTATGATATAGAATCATGTCATGCATCTACAAGAATTTTATCTTGATCTTGTAATTAGAGACAATCGTGCACAATTTGCTTTTAATTTTCGATGTTACCAAGAAAAGATATTTAATGATATCCTCTATAAATGATGAATTTAGATCCTTTCAACTTATACTCTAAAAATGTGTGGATCAAAGATATGATACGATATAAATTGAAAGTCACTGTCGAACCTATTAATTTATCTACGAGCTAACAATGTGATTGTGAGTTTTTCATTATTTGTATTAAGTGAGAAATAGAATGGAAATTACCATTATGTTTTTTTTTCTAATTTTTTTGTTTTTATATTATAATACCGAAAAACAATTCATACACATGTATTTTCTCATGAACACTTGTTAAAAATTCGACTAGTATAGTAATTTGGGACTGTTTCATTGTTACATGTAAAACAGAAGAAAAAAAAAGATAAAAGACCGGTACAAAAATTTTTTTTAATGGTCCAATTTCATTCTTACTTTTTCTTTTTTTTACAGAAAGTGAATAGTTAATAACAAGCAATTTAACCTATTATTGAAGATTTTTCTGCAATAATCATGCGTAATAGAAATCAAGCATAATCAACCGCATGATAGTAGTTTTAAAAAAATCATGATTTACGTGTCTCATACATTTTCTGCAATATAATCATACTAAAATCTACTAAAGATTTTCAAAATAGTTGATGCCAAATATAGAATAAACAACGGAATTCCCTTTCTATCAATAACATTTGTCGAAGATATTGCATGTGCATCTCTTCATTTCTCTCAAATATTTTGCATTCGAGTAAATGAAATTGATATACATAGCCCAATTAGTCAAAAAATTATAGAATTTAGATTAACTTATAGAAAAATACTTCGTTACTTACATGACACATCCATTTCCAAACCATCTGATAATAATTTGTAGTTGTTGTCATGTATTTTTTGATTTCCTTCACAATAGATTCGTTTTTTATGATAATATTTAGTAACGACAAATGTTGTTGTTAAAAGTGTTCGATATGTTTTATCTTCGTTTATTAATGTTGTATTGCGTTCAACGCGATGATTCGATTTTGGTTCTGTGGGTAAATAAACGTGTAATATAGATTCTGGTAATGCACGTTGAATAAAACATTGAATACGTAATGTTTGTTTTTCTCGTATTCTTAATTTTTTTGATATAGAATCATAATGAAATAGTGAATGATGATGTTGATGCTCGACGTCGTTTATATAGCTAATTATTTCCGTTGTGTTATGATGACTGTTCAATGAATCAAATTGAGATAAGAGTTTTGCATTAATTTCGACCATTTTCATTTGAACTAAAAAAAATTGAGAGAAATGAAACAAAAAGAGAAAAAAAAGAGGAAATACGGAAAAAATGGTAGGTAACAAAAAAAAGAAAAATCATGGATTTGTAATCTTGATAGATGAAAAAGAATTGTCGTCTATGACTATTTTAGAAGAAAAATATGCAGGTGCCGACTTTTTTTCTAAAAAATTGAACTCCTTTTATAGACTAAGAAATAATAAGTACCACTTTATTCAAAACGATTATTAATGAAAACCAAACGTTTCTATATTTAAACAAACTGACAACTTCCATTCATATGTTATATTTATAGCGTATCGTTTAAACATATTTGATCATTAAAAATATTAAAAAGCAAACTTACAATATAAACTATTCAATTCCGACTAATCTACAGTTTACTCGTACAACCTATCAAAATTAACCATACCTACTCTGGAACAACTATAACTTTTTCAAATAACGACGGAAGATAAGGAAATGAACGATGTCGTTTGGAGCAGTCAGCATAAAGTAAGGGGAGGCACATGGAAGTCTTGGTAATTTAGATTTAAGATGATTTAAGATGGGCATATTTAAAAATATTTTAGCGAACACCGCTATTATTTTTTTCTCTCGTATTTACGCGTAAAAATATCTATATTCTTCTTTCAATATAGTAACATTTACACTGTGTTATTGTGGAATATCAGCATAGCCATAGTTGATCAGAACAATTGTTCTGTAGTTATATTTGTATTAGTGTCCTTTTTTCTGTTCATTTCCTATTTGTCTCTGGTTTCCTCTCCATAAACTACCTTAAAAAGTTTTTCTTTTAGAAAAAATTTTCTATGCTTTTAGCAAACAATAGAGTGAATATAATATTAACATATTGATAATGTAAAGATGAATGATGATGAAGATGGTTGTTACTGTATGAGACAGTTTTTCAATTTTTTCCTACTATTAAAAGAGTAAAAGAAAAAAGAAAAAAAAGAATGCTGAAGAATTCATACCCCTTAACTGATGGAAATACCAAACTATGATCTTCATATTAAAAATACACACAAAGAAAAGATAGAAAGAAAGAGGATGCGAAAAAGTATAAAAGGTTTATATATATCCATATCTATACAACTATCAGCTTGAAATGATAGTAGACAAAGAATTGTTGTAGTGTGAAAGTAAAAAAACCTCACACTCGTTTCGCTATCTTCCTCACTATTACATGCAAACATCAAAAATTAACACATTAATCATCATCAAATAAAGAATTATTAAAATAAATAATATTTTTTGTGCAATTGAAAAAGACGCGTATATGATTGTTCAACATTTTTAATTAAACCAGAAACCGAGTACTTATTCTTGTAAAAATATTTAATTGCATATAGAGAGATGTTGCAGATAGAAAGTACAATTTTTTTTTATTAAAAATTTGATTTTTGACAAAAAAAAACTCAATTTTTACTTGAGATGTGTTCAACGTTTGTTAATTTATAATAATTCTCATACATATTTACATTCGTCAATATATCACATTGTTAACAGACCAGAAAAGTTTTTCCACTTAATACTCTTTAAATTTAAGAATTAAATCTTGCTATTGGCAAAAATAGACAGAATTGCAATTATTCTGTACATTATACACCATGAATAATCTGCATCTTCTATTTAATACGTTTTCCTCATTCTATTCTATATTCATTTCAAAAATTATATCTTATCTTTTTATATAAGCGACTTAGTGGATAGTCGTAGATAATTTAGCTGTCAGTTGTCCAACTGCGCCCGTCTGGCTCAATTAATTCAAATACAAAATGATTTCTTTTCATTGTTTATTCTTTTTAATTGCGACACAATATTTTCTTGATGTCAAAATAAATGATGAAATCACTCTAACTACATATAATTTTTTTTTTTGTACTTATATTATATATAAAGAAAAAAAAAAATGGAAATTAATTAGCAAATATTTCTGAAAACCTCAGCATCTTCTTTTTTCTTATGTCTTCTGTCCATAAGAAAGAACAATAAAAAACAGAAGTCAAATATGTTCACTATAGGTCAAATAATTGCGTCCATAAAAGAAATATCTATCAAAATGAAAATAAATTAATATTGGATCAACCAAAATTCAAAATGACGGATTTCTTTAAACACATATGGTATACATGTGTGTAGTACAGAAAGAGAAGAAAAATATGTGTTATATGTTCAAATAGAAGAAAAGAAGTGGTACTTGATCGAGAGTACATAAGTATTGAAAGATGAATTTCATTCTCAGTGACAAAAACCATTGTTGACTATGAATATAGATGAAGTGTAAATTTATTATGATATATAGTCCAGAGATAAACAGATGACAAAGAGAATATAAGACTTACAAAAATCGACCAGTAAAAGTATTCAAAAGAAAATTTTTACTAACAAATGAGAATAACGTCTCATGTAAACATAACATCAAATAGAGAGAAACGCATGTAAAAAAACAAACAAGCCCTATGCACATAGTTTTACATAATTTTTCAAAAATAATCATACATAACTACAGTTGAAAATTATGCATAATTCTCAGGACTCCATGCATAAAAGTGTAGTCTTATGCATGGTTATGCACAAACGTTTTGCTATGCATACTGATGTATAGGACTTTTTTTATCCTTAGCGAAACCATCCTATGCATAGCCCGTGACTTACCGTTACCAAAATGCTATCCAATCTATGCATAATGCAATCTAGATCGTAGCGGGAATTCTGCATAATTAACTTGTTTTATTATACGAAACTATGTACATAGGATCTCTTTCATTTTTTACGTGATTGAGCGAAACAGTCTTAGAAGAAGCAGTAAATCAATTAAGTCAACATTTTTTCTTACAACTGTTCTTCATTCTCAGTTTTGAGCTGTTAGAAGAGTTTTTATTCACATCATAATCATAAACTAATTCATAAGCAGAAATAATTTGTTCCGAAGATGTGTTTTTTTTTCTAGGAGAAAAGTAATTCTTTATGTTTCATTGAACATTCAAAGTGTCAAAAATCATATACTGCCTTAAGAGGATTTTACTGTGCAATAATATACTTTTAGATAGATCGGAAATTATTTTGAAGAATGAAACACGTTCATTCATTTTCTTATTTTAATATTTTCTGTCGATACATAAGAAGATAAGGTGAAATGAATATTATTGAATGATTAAATATGCACTTATGTCTCAAAGGAAAAATTACATTGTTAAACATGTCTGCATATATCGATGACAACAAAGACTGATAGAGTAAAAGAGAAAAAAAAGTTATTTTGAAGCATGATACGCAAGAGTAAACTTATCTGAAATTTTCTTTAGTTAGATTTAACTTCTATTCTACGATTAGATTAGAAGTTATTGGAGAAACTTAAAATTATCCTCACTATACAAAACTAGTGTGTCAGAACTGAAAAACATAGTAGATGATCGATCGTCCCTAGAGATCCAATTTTATAAAAGATTCTTATACTTTTTTTAATAAAAAATCTTATAGAAATCTTAATTTTACAGTCGATAGAAATGCATACTGTAGTTATAAGATTCTTATGAACGAAATTTATAAAATTCCTATAAAATTTTATACGATTTTTATAGTAAAAGTAATAACATTTTTTTCTGTTGTCTGAAGGACGAGGATAAAGTTTTAAACTTTGGAAATTGTTAAACATTTTTCATAAGGCACACTATAAGATTATAAGAATCTAATAAAAAAATTATATACTAAAATCTTATTAAATTCTTATAAGACTCTTATATTGTGCATTATAAAAATTTTATAATTACAGTATGCATTTCTATCGACTATACCATATAAGATTTTTGTAATTTTGGTCGGCCAGGGGTTATAGTATGATGTACCCTACTATTCGAGAGATAGAATGACGTCAATTGACATTATAAACAACAGGGTGTACAAAAAATCCTAGCATTCATTCATTTGAAATAAGACCATAGTACATTTGTAAGAACTTACCAGAACAACGAAAAGCCCTATTATATGACTGGAATTAGTCATGCAGAGGTTATTCGATTATATCGGTTACTGTCGATTAATTGATGAAAACTAACTGATGACCGATAACGGTTGCGCCAGTAACTGATCATACCCGATACGTTTTGAGTAGGAATTCTTGAACGTTTTTTATCAAAAATGTTTCTTTAGCTAAGAAAACGACTACGTTATTAACGGTTTAATCGAATCGATGTATGTCTAGTTGGGACTTTCTAACATCAAACATTTTTGGGTGTTTGTAAAATACGCTAACATCCACTAATAGTCCATAATTCAAATCTAATACAGTCAATAAATAGAGTGCGTCTAGTTGATTATGCTAACATGGAATAATATTCAGATGAATACTTGACAACGACTACTAACAGTCGAAACATACTCATTAACATCTTAAAAGACATCTGCAACTCTCTAACTTCCTAGTTTTCAGTCATAAATAAAGTACATATGTTGCGGTATTGTATTGCTATTCATGCTAATACAGAAAATGATGAAAATTGCATTAAGAATAAAACCTTGGTGAAATCAGAAAAATTAACAGTAAATCGAAAGCAAACTTCATAGAGAACGGAAACACATGAAAATGAAGCAAAATTACTTCCACATAGGAAACGATGAAATAAACTGGAAGAAAAATTATTTAAATGGTAGATCAATTTGATTGATATATCAATATAAACTTTATTATACTATATTAGAATTATTCGATACAAAATTTTGAATGAATTAACAGTATGTCATTATTGGTTTTCACGGAGTATTATTAGATTCTTGAGCATCTCTGCATAGATATATGAAACTATCTTAACCTTAAATTTCTCTACTGATCAATGAATATTTGTTCTAAAAAAGTAATATTTGTTATTTACACAGATATGGAACTGATACATTAGAAGCTTTAAGAAAGATGTTGTTAATAAATTTAAAGTTACTTTTGAGATTTATTGTAAAATTCAGTTCATGTCTCTCTACTCGAACAAAGTCTGTTTTGGATAGTTTAATTTTTATAGCGATACAATTAGACTAGTCCACTTTTATTGTCGGAGAATAAGCTCAGATCTTGTTTAATTCTTGGTGCGTAGTCTGACAGAAAAGAATACGTTTATTTCGTGTACGTTTTTATTTTTTGGGGAATGTTAATTGATTGGATGAAGGTTATACATTTAAACAACAACTATATTCCCTTGAGTGGAAGTCTATATACTACAGAATCATACAAAATATTATTGGAGACATTTTCGACTATATTAGGTCAGAAAAAAATAAATATGCAACTCCATATCGACTGGAGTATGTCATTTTTATAACATAATTCGTCCGCCCTAAAACGGAAGTATTGAATAAAGTAGTAGTAACTTGACTATGGAAGATTCTGACAGTCTAGAAAACCCCATACGTACTCATTAATGAGGGATAGTTTCCTCAACATTTCACTGTATAACTAAAAGGTACGAATAAAAATGTTAGCCAACAGAGAACTTGGCGGACGTGTATGTAAGTTAAAACTAAATCAGGGGCGGCGGCGTTAGAGATGAAAAGAAAATTCTTCCATAAAATGACTAGTTTTTGCACAAAAATCTTTGATTGCTGGTGTGACTGCTAAGGTTCGTAATAGCAAAAAACAGTAGTAAAGTAGGAGTAGGATTTCAAAGTCCTTTTGGTAGAATTTACATCAAAAAGTGTGATCAGCGGACCATATTTCATGTACTTTAGTCATTTTTAGTGCATATATAAATTAAAAGTCTTCGATAAAGACAGGATCGACGTGAGGTATTTAAAGGGATGGATAAATTTTGATTGCGACTAATGAAAAAAACAACCTTTTTGCTAAATACATCATAGTAAAAGAAAACGCTGATGATTACAGAGAGAAAAAAGAAGAGTTTTCGATATTGGTGGGGTTGCTATCCACCTCCTGCTCGCGTCAGCCCTTGGTACAGAGTTTGCACATTTTAACCGTAGTACCGTAGTATAACTGTTAAAGTAAACAAAAAAAGCATAAACAGCAGGAAGCTGTAACTACTCTTCTGCCCCAGTGAGATACTTTTGAATTTCCTGACAGAATTCTCGACATATCCTATGAAAAGATCCTACTAGGGTTTCGCTTACGTTCTCTAGGCTCCTAACAAAATCCTATGAAATCAAGGATACTGAAAAGTCCATATGAAGTGAAAATAAAAGGTCGACTTTCTTAGTGCTAGACGAAATGAGCTCTAACTTTGTCGGAAATATTGTTGATCCTTTCAGATAAAAATAACGTTTGGATGAAGTGCCGAGATTGTTTCGTTTTACAAACGTCAGCAGATAGATGGCGTATCACCAGTGACATCTATCTGCAGACGTTTCTAAAACGAAACAACCTCGGCACTTCATCCAAACGTTATTTTTATCCGAAAGGATCAACAATATTTTCGACAAAGTTAGAGCTCATTTCGTCTGACGCTAAGAAAGTCGACCTTTTATTTTCACTTCA